CTGGTCCAGAAGTATTAAGAGTTTTAGGTCTTTATTTATGGAAGGTCATTCTTAGCTGAAACTGGCCATACAGGATTTTTGCTTGTTATTAAAGGGGGCTGGTAAACATCTTGTCACAAGATCAAAGAGCATTGTTTGCAACCACACTGTCTAGACCATTTGACAAAAATGCAGAGGAGAAAAGACCACAACCTAGCTCTTGTACATGTTGATCTTATAAAATAAACAAAAACAAACTAAATTGTCCATCTAGTTTCAGGCAAAATATGAATTGCAGTTACCAGAGCTATGCTCAAGGATGAGATTCAACAGAAAAAAAAAAAAAAAAAAAAAAAAGAAGGAAAAATTATCAACAGGGACCAGGGCATCATGATCCTGAATGCGCACAACAGCTCAGGGGGAGGTGTGAATTCTCAAGGAGATCTTTTGTCTTTAGTTATAGGAAGATGTTCTATACACTTTTTACAGGGAAATAGTTTTAAAAGAAGGAATGCCAGTCATTTAAGGATTCCAAAAATCAAGAAGAATGCTGTATGCTATTGCAAATTAATAGTAATATGAAGGGACCTGCTGAGAGTTGTCACATGCACCAAAAATGCTGTGAAAGACTTTGTATTTTTCCTGAGAAAGTTAAAAAAGCTTTTAGTTTGTTTGCTTACCTTACTTCTGTTGGGGGAAAAAACCCTGAACCATACTGAAGCATTCTTCCAAGAATATTACTCTTTTTTGCCTCGGTAGAAAACACTACAGCTAAACAGGCAATCATGAACATCAAACTTCATCTCACCAAAGGAACTATACCTGGAACAGTTTTGTCTTACAGCAGATACAGTTCACTGGGCATAGGTTTAAGCTGTTTGGGTTTCAGCATGTACCTGTTAGATCCTACTATCCCTCATTTACTGGGATAAAGCAATGAAGTGGAATCAGATGCCAGCCCATGTTTAGGGTTGTTACATTTCAGAACGGATCCAGCGGTGCCTGAATTTTCCACTCATTGCTTTTTTCCTAAAGGAAAAAGTGCTGTTAGAAACCAGTATCAAAATGACCACAGACCTGTAATGATGGTTACATCTATAAGATGTAGAGTTAGATAAGGTAAAACAAAAACTTTAAATTATGTGGTCTGTCTGGTAGGGTACTATGAGAACATCTACTGCAATGTTAAAGGGGCTTATTGTTTTTGGGAAGTAGTGATATTGCCAGCGGTATTGTCAGCCCAAAGGAATGCATGCTTCAGACAGATGGGTGGCATCCCCATACAGGAGGGAAGGAAGGGATGCTGTAGTGGCTCTTTTTTCCATGGGTATCTCACAGAGATGGTAACCGTGCCATCCTGAGACAACTGAGCCCCAAGAGACAGCAGCACAACAGGCGCTGTTACAATTTCTTCTTCCTAACAACAGCACCGTGACCTGCAAATTGACACAACAGGGCATCTCAGAGACTCTACGTTCACAGTACATTTTAGTTAGCACTAGTGATATGTTTAAAATTACGTATCACATTAATTTTCACTGTGAATTCTTGCTTATGCCATGTTTGGCTAAGAGAGGAAAAGATGTGGGACTGTGCTTTTGAGACTGGCCAGAGCCCTCTGGAACAGGTTGTTGTGTTGCCCATGTTATGAGATGGCAATTTTACAATTCAGACACTGAATGAAGCAGACCTCAGCTGACAGCGTAAGGTGGTCCCTCATTGAAAAAGGAAAGGGAACCCTCCCCAGACACCAAGAGTCTGCAATTGGGATTCTCTCCTTGGAGGTGGAAGAAACAAGCCTTACCCTTTTTCAGGCAGAATTAGGGTTTGAGACCAAGTTTCCAAACCCATATGCTTAGTGCTAATCATGTGGCGGTAGGACAAGATGTATGTAGTTCAAATCACTGCCTGTCATGTGTTATATCCGTGTGTGACGATATCAAAACCTTGCTTATTTGGCAATCTCCAAGAACACTTAGATCAATCTCCACAGTCAGCCGAAAGCCTGCTTGTGAATCTCACGGAGCTGAGGTGCTGTCAAAATGCAATTGTTCCTCCAAATGCCCAGCAGCGTGCTCTAAGTGTTTTACCAGTTTTGCTGGTAGAAAACGTTGTTCCATAAGGTTTAGTAGGAGCAAACCTGATGTTTTAAGCATCTAAAGCCTGGACGTAGGCCCTTAAAATGTCAGTTATTGGCAAAGCCCTTTAATGAATTCAGGTCTGTGTGGCTGTGTAAAAGATGTCTGAGACTTGCCACTTTCAATGTCTCTGGGCTCGCGCACCTCTTACCATAGAGATCTGTGTGATTTGACTCTGCTCCCACAGTTTGACAATGTCCTTGAGAATGTTCAGAGAGGGGGAACTTTAAAAAATGACAGGAGCATCTGAGAAGAGTGTTTGGCAGATATAGTTCTGGAGAAGTGTAAGTATCATTTCAGACAGAATTAAAAAAAGGAGATGAAGTGTTGTAAAAGTTAATAGATGAGGACTTGTTTTCGTGAAGCAGACTTTTTTTTCAGAAGTGCTGAGTGTAGTTAACTCTTGTTGAGTTCCCTGGCCTAAATGCAGCTTTTGTTTTAGCATTCAGAAGCCGTTAGATTATGTTCTCTGGTGCTGAGAGTCCCTGCTAACGCAGGGTTGTGCATTATCTGCAGGAGCGTGGTGTAATTCATACATTCAGTCATCTTGTCCAAGGAGAGTAGAGTTGAGTTTACACAACATAGCTTGTGCCCCTTATGATTATATATTACACAATTTTTGAAATCCAAGGTTCAAACATAATTAGAGCTATGGTTTCAACCCTAGCTATCCACAAAGCAAACTTGTAAGAACATCCGCAGTTACCTGACAGAGCCCCATTTCGTACCGTGGACTGTTCTGCACCTCCTCATCGAGACAAAGAAAATGTCAAGGTAATCTAAATAAACTGGTGGATTTTATAACATGGGAGGATATCTGAGACCACTGAAGTGAGAGTGCTGCTAGACCTGAAGTTTAGCCACCATCCTAAGCATAGATGGTGAAGGTCTCAGCAGATGGTGTTGAAAGATATGCTGAATTGTCCACGGTTTTTATAGGGTGATCAAAAGAGGTTTTGTGTACCACAAACATCTTTTCTGCAATTCTTTGTATCAAAGAGAGTTGGGAGAAGTTGTGCATCTCATTATTATGTCACTAGTAGTAGTTACAGAAAGGTACTGCAGAAATTCTACTCAGCCATAATATCAAATCCTTTTATTTAGGAAAAAAAAAGTCACCACATTGTAAACTAGCCCAAGTTGTGGTTTGGTACAGTTCTTATACTCTGTTTTTTATCCACTCCAGCTGTCAGATGGAGACAGGAAAAATCAAAACATTTTTACAGTATTCCTTCTTAAGGGAGCTCCTTAGGTGCTCAGGTCTGGATTCACATCCCGTCTCCAGCGCTGGAGCAGCCCTGCCAGTTGGCTGATGAATCAGAACTCTTTAGTCTGAGGCAATTCTTTGGGAGCAGACTGGTGCCGTGCTCATACGGTGATTCTGGCATGTGTGCAATGGCTTTGCCATGTGATGGTGAGAAAAATTCAGTGGATGAGCAAGTGAAGTATCAACAAGTATATGAAGCAAGCTCTTCACTCCCACAAATGGATGCTCAGGGCACCTGCTTTGCTGTAGAGCTGTTTCTCATAGTTTCAGCAGATCTTCACACACCTAACATGCAGTAAGCACTTTTAGACCCGTTAGCTCTCTAGATTGTTAAGTGTATTGAGAAACACTGGACTTACGGAGTAATAAGAATACTCACAGTTATCCTTTTGCCACAATGAAAATTTGCCCAGTCTTTGCTTTCATTCTCTTGTCTTTTTTCTGACCCATGATGGAACTTTCTTCTCACAACATGCCCAGCAAGCTTCTTCAGAAGTCCCTTATGTGAGTTTTTGTTAAGCTTTTGGGAAATCTGTCTAAAATAAGTTGATTGGTTCTTGTTTACCTGCAAATGTATTGACACTGTTTGAATAATTCTAGGAGAGTTTTTGATTTTACATGCAATGCAAGTGATGTAAGCAAGTCACTGAGAGACAAACTATCAGAAATGGCACAGAGCATCTGGTGCTGTAATTTCTGAAAAGTAATTTGGACAGTTACAGCCACTTAGTGAGGTACAGAGCTCTTGTACTTCCCATTGGCACCAGAGTGACTTGTGGGTGCTCAGCACCCTGAAACAGCTCAATCGTTGTATCTCAAGCTGAGTATCCATGCTTAGAGGCCAGATTCATGAATATCTGTTATAACAACTCTGTTTCTCTGTTTCTCAATGTGTTACAGAGAGATATATGATAGATTTTATCTTGTTGGACATTTCATGTTCCTTAGGAATAAAGGGATTCCTCAGATAAAAGGCTCGAAAGAAATTCAGTTTTATGTCTATGTCTGTGTTTAATTTCAGTGTTCATCTCTGGATCTAGCATAATCTTTGCAGCATCTGACTGCTTACCTCTCACATCTCATAAACGTTATGCTTGACCTCCTAAAGCTCTGCCTGTGGCAAAGTTGCTAAACACCTGAAAAAGTATTTTATTTCCTTCCTCTTCAGTCATAACTGGAGATCTGCAAGATCTGTCTTTCATGAGAAACATTTCATTTCACAAACCGCTCCCTTAAGCGTGGCGTCAGTGTCAGAAGGGACAGTGTTTGTAGACAGGTCATTTGTTTTCCTCTGAAGGTTTAATTTGTTTATTCCTGTTTTCAAATAATCCCCAAGCAATATAGTTCCTGTTGCTGCGATCATCATGAATTCAAGTTATTCACCTCCCAGAGGGTCAGACCTTTCATCAGTACGCCATTGGCACGGAGCAGCGAGTGTTGCATATTCATCGTCCGAGACACTGTCTAGAGGGCCTCCAAAAAGCCTGATTTTTTTTTTTTTTTTTTTTGTTCTCAGAGCAAGGAAAACAAACCCTTCCCTTCTCTAGTCCCTTGATAAGGGTTTCTGTCCAATAACGGTGCTCTCTGCTCTGAGGCACATTTAACTGTGAAGTTTGCAGCGGGAGAGGCTTTCCTTCAAGCTGTTAGTGTTTTATCCTGGCAGGCTCCTCGAGGTTGTTGTGAGGAGTCTAGCCAGTTGGTGAGCTTTGTAATCTAAACCAGCTGTCCCAGGCTGAGGCCCCCATTTGCATTGTTTAACATACTTAGAAAATGAAGTGTTCATTTTTAACATTCCTCCTCCAATTGGTTTAATGCTGAATTACAGAAGAGAACTAAGCAAAACCAGGTGCTTTCTCTGTATTCTCTCCAGTGTCTGAGGAGGTACAGACGGCTCCCGATCTTCTCCATTACTTGCTCTTTCATTCTTTGGACTATAAATGACTGAGGAACTGAAGTGCTAGCAGAGGGTAATGTTTGGAAAATCTTTCTAGTTATTCATCAGCACAGACTCTGGTTTTTTTCCACCTTTCCGCAACAGTTTTGGACATGCAAGGATTAAAAAGGTAAGTGGTATGCATGAAACTTCTTTACTTACTGAAGGGAAACCTACTTGTGGAAAATATCTGTGGCAGGGATTCGGTATGCCAATCCACTTGCTAAAGCCATTTGCAAAGAGACGGGATCTCAATGATCAGAGGTGGGGAAAGACGATCTGTCTGTTATTAAAGCTGTGCTGTCTCTGACAAGTTCCTTCTTGATCTGTGCTTATACTCTGCGCTTTAGGAACCCTGCCATCCGCAGGAGTGCTGAATTGTGACAGCAAACGATCCCACTGGCTACAGTGATTGATTTGAAGCTAATTAGTTACTATTGCAGAAGTTAATTACTAGTTTAAAATATTGTGCCTGCCAGGCAAGCTACTGTGACCAGCTGAATATAGTGTTGAGAGGTTGTGCTGCACGTCTGTTAATAATTCTTGAGGGGATTTGAGAGCTAAAGTAACGAGCAAATTGAGATGGTGGCTGCAGGCAGAACACGTATGAGGCAGTAAGGTCACCCCCCCACCAGGAGGAAAGAATATATCATCTTATAGCAACAGAAACTCAAGGCTATCTAGAAAAGTATGTGTTTTGTCTGACGAGTTTTATAGGGGATTTTGTTAGCGTGCACTGCTCTGCAATAACGTAGAGTGTAGCCCAGTTGCTAGGTGTTAACGTCCAGCTGTAACCTGTTGTATTTCCTTCTAGTGCTGTTCTTGCTGTATGCAAAGTGAGTACGCAGTGTTTATACCAGTGCGAGCTTTAAAATCTCTTCAGAACAATTTGAGAAATAAATAAATGAAGAGCAAGCCTAAATGGATAACGTTGTATTTTGAATGCTTTGCATCTAAGGAAAACTCTGTGCAGAATTTGCCTTTCCTTGTTACTCAAAAGCTGCCAACAAGCACGATCTATCTCTGCAGCACTTTGAACAACCATTTTAGGGTTTATATTTACTTTTCAGAGCTTGAGCCTGTCTCCTCATTTAAAACAAATTTGTTCAAATGTGTTGGTCACGTTTGTGTGTGGTTTTGTTTGATGCATTTGTAGGTCTTTTTCAGCAGCTCAGTTTGCACTGGAAATCAGAGACAGCTCTAAGAAAGAAAGTTGGCAGCTTGCTTGGGTAGCAGAACTAAGGCTACCTAAAATATCCCTTGCTTCCTGTACTGGTTTTGTAGGAACATATTGTATACAATTGCCATTCAAAACTAGAATCCAAGATAAGCAAGATGTGGGTCTAATTGTATTGAGAAGAAATTTTATATAAGGTAGCAGCAAAGCACTGAAATCCATAGTAGATAGAAAAAAAAAATTCTTACTGTCTTTTCCTGGTTTTCTGTCTGTTAGTAAGTACTTGGGGGTGGGAGCTTAGTTGGACAGAATTTTCGTGCTCCAGGTAAGGAGTTCCAAATACAGCCATAGAGCTCTGTTAGTAAAGGTGCCTCTTCTTTCAGTTGCAATGAAGAGACCCAGTAGGACCCTCCAGGTGCCAAGATGATATAACTGGGGAAGACTCCATTGAAGATAGCAGCTTCTGGTAGCTGATGACTTGGCACAGTGTGTCTACTTGAAGAGCAATGTATTACTCAAGATTGAGTAAAGGGACAGAATCTGGCCCTAAAAAAATGGATTAATCTCCAATATAGTCTCTTGAGGATGAAATGCGGTTTAGCGGTTAGAGCAACTGGCGTGGATTCAGGACCTCCTGCATGACATGTCTGCTGCCCTGCCAATGTGTTGCACTGGGAGCTTAGGCAGGGCCTGTGCTCTGGTGTACCGATCTGTAAAATGTGCATAATGTGCAAGAAAAACTTTGATATTCTCAAAAGAAAGGTGTCAGAGAGGGGCAAAAATACTTTATTGAATATCACGCACTTGTTCACTAAGCAGCTGCTGCATGAGGTAACATAAAAAATAGATTAGTTAATAGACATGTTCAGTCTGATTCTTATCACAGTGGCATAAAACCATAGTAAAATTAGTGACTTTGAGGTCTGAATCTGGCCCACAGTTTTATTACTCCCTCTTCCAGTGGCCAAATTCATGTTAGCAAATCTCTGTGGAATATGCTGAAGTGTCACTAGAAATTAATTTGTCCATATGTATTTAATTCTGTATAATGAGCCTGGATATCAGAAGGTTTTCAGCCTATTTTCTATGCACATTACAGGATACTGACTGCTTTCACACTGGCCGTCTGCCTTTCAAGCCTTGGAAAAGCACAGGTGAGAGGTGCACGCAGAGATCTATGTGCTGTTTTGTACCGAAGAGCTATATGGCATGAGACTTAACTGGCTAGCAGGTGAATTGGAAGCTCTGCGGTCTGGGGTTTACATGAAAAGGAAGCTGTGTGGTCTAAGGGTTTAGAGGGGAGAATCTGGAGCCAGCAGGATTCTGGAGTTGAACATGGACTGAGCTTATTGACTCATCCTTGCCAGCTCAGCAAAATATCCCTGTAGAAACCTGGACCTCACTGAAAACCTGATTCTGCCTCTGGACTGAACACTTCTGGAAAAGGAAATAAGAAAAGCCATCCCAGGAGAGCAGGAACAGTTCAGTTCTGTGGTGGGGAACACCCATGGTTAGAAAAGTTATTCATATAAACAGGTATTCTCTGTGTATAGCCGGATCCTGTCTTAAGACTGTTTCATTTTGGACTGTGATCCTGAATGACTGCATCCTAGTTTTCATTTTAATTTATGCCCCAAACCATTTTGTTCAAGAGGAAGGGCTTTTGAGGGTGGATGGAAATAAAGCAGTCCAGTTCTTGAAATAGCAGAAGCCTTAGTTCTTTGTGTCCTTGGGCTCCAAGTGTACTTTAAATTAGGAAAAACAGTTCCCAAAGGCATGTTACATTAGGATTCCTAGTTGATAATCCAGACATACTCAGTGTCCAGAGCTGTGTTTCTAACTACCTTTGGCAAAAGGCTCTGAAATGTAGTTGTTTTTTTCTATTACATTGAAAATTTCCTGCACAACATGCCTATTGATATTTTTGTGAACATTGGATCTGTATGCAAAATGCTTTTAATGCCCCTGGAGAGTTTTTGAGATATCTTTATGGGTTTGTTTTTCTAATTTAAAAAATATTGTTTCTATTGCTATTTTTATAAAAACATTTTGTACCACAAATTGATTTTGAAGTCTAAGCAAAAAGCAACTTGAAACCAAGGAGACAGCAGAAAATTCCTTCTGAAGATATTGAAACTGGGCATTTCAACAATACTGGAATCTTTTCTAGAATAAAGTTCTAGAAAGTTGTTGAAACCAGTTCTATCGTAGTTTCAGTGCTTCTGAATCATCGCTTAGTGTTCAAAAGAAAATAATTTTGTTAAAAGCTATTTTGACATTTCCTGCTAACCTAAGTGCAGTGTATATACCACAGCACAGAAAAGAGAACAAAAGGTAGAGTACATATGTTCTTTAAAACATGAGACCGATTATGCATTTTCCCATCAGAATACCTTGTCTTTCCACAACATGATACCAAACAATCTCAGAATGCCAAAAATAATGAAGGCAGGATTCCTTCATAGCTGTTTGACACTTCTAGTAGTGGTTTTGTGTGTTCATGTGTGCAAATGGCAGGTGCAGCCCAGTGGCAGTGCATGTGTTTCACTTCATGTCCCCTACCTAGTCCCTGCAATGGCCCGCTTCCACTGACTTATCCATCTCACACCTTGTCTCCCATCTACAACTTACTACTTTTCCAAGCATGAACCAAGTACTTTATTCCACTAATTTATTCCTCAAAGTCACAAAATAAGTGTTTCTATCATTTGACAACAACAAAAAAGGAAGAATCTTGAACACATTCCACCCCTCTGCCCTCTGGTTACTTCAGTGGTTCCTGTTTTCTGGATATCTCTTGCTTACATTTGTTCATATAACCTATTTACTGGCAGGATCCTGTGCCTGTGTCAACTGCGTGGTCCATTGCTAAATACATGGAGGCCCAGTCAAAAACTAGGGAGAGCAGGGAGTAATTTTAATGGGCTTTGACACATCACCAGGGCTCTCACTGGTTTAGAAATGCTGAGGGTCACTGGTGAGGTGTTGAAGACACAAGGTTGCAGCTCTGATAAAGGCCAGCATCACAGGACAGGAAGGAGCAAGGCTTCAGGTAACCTCGCATGCCTAGAACATGTGTCATGTAAAGACTCATCCTCTAAAAATCAAAAGGTTTGGTGTAAACAAAAAGCCTTTTATTAAGCTTGTTGTGTTTTAACTGTGGCTTCAGTTCAGTCAGCTGAGGAACATGTTGAGATGCATGTAATGAATGGTCTATATTTGATTTTTTTAAACCTGTTAGAGAAGTTAGCTCATACCTTTCAACTGACCACCCCTGTTCTGGGAAAAACAAGACCCCAAAAAATAAGAATGTAGCTTCTGTGTTAACGACTGATTTGGAGCCCATTGCACAGGATATGTTGGTTTCCTTAGGGAGAGGAGCAGCCCAACATGGTCACCACCTGCAGGGAACTACTTTCTGAGTTAAGGGGCTGGCACATGTGCCGAGGCCTCAGTTCATGCCTCGCTGACTGTCCTTTGGGGAAGGGACTTTATGTTGGTGTAGCGTATAGTGCTGAACAATTGTACTAAGCATAATAATCCAGATGAGCATTTGACTCTGCAGCCCTCTCATTTCACAGTCACTGAGTGTCCTTTGTTTTCTCATTTTAGCAACAATGCACTAATGGGTTTGACCTGGACCGTGCCTCTGGGCAATGCTTAGGTAGGACTTTAATTAAATCAATATATTGGGGTTCAGAAATCCTGACTTTATTGAGTTATCATTGTGCTGCTGTTAGTATGTTTTAGTTGAAAAGTTCTTGCTGTGTGACAAATATGTTTGTGTATATGTATATACAAAAATATATATGTGTATATATATATAAATACCTGTGTGTATTTACATAGCACAAGTATATACCGAACATTGTTGAGGTACTAGTTGGCTGTCAGTGCTTCTCAAACATCTGTGATGTATTGAGATGAGTTTGGTAGCTCAGTCTAGTTGCCAAATGAGAAGGGTTGTTTACCCTCCTGTTTCTCCTCCAGACTCAGTATTTACTATCTTTGTTGGCAGCCTCTAACTGGAGGCTCGGATAAAGTCTACCACTGCTCAGGGTTGAAACACCAAGTAAATTGTTGAGGCAATATAGAGAAACATGCACTTTGCCCTGTAACATCTTTTTATCAATGGCATTCCGTCTCCAGGACAGCATGCATGCGTTAAAGTCACCCAAACAGTAAAGGAAAAACAAGCAACAGATTGCTTACCCTGTCATAGCAGCCTACTACTTCTGTGCCCTGAGACCCAAGCAAATGCTCAGTTTGGCTAAACCATTTCTATCTTTCTAAATTTAGTTCAGCAATAATCTCAATCAGAGCAAGAAAGAGGCCTGAACCACATCCCCAGGTCTGAACACCTCTAACCTTTTCTGTGGGAGGGAGCTCAGGAGTTCCAAATTGGGATCCAAGTTTCACAGCTGGGCAAACCAAACCACCAGTGTTTGAAATCCTGATCTGCATGTTGTGGTTTGGACAGACCTACTAGCAGGAACAGGCAGTAGCATGCTGTAGCCATGTGTAAATCAGTGTTTAAACTGAACATTTATGGAATAACAAAGTAGGCTTTCCCCTCCCCCTCTACCCTCTAATAGTGAAGTAAAACAAGTAGAACACAGGATATGTTGAATATATGGGATGTTTCGTGTTTTAGTATGATCTAACTTCAAAGGGAGGCTCCACAAGGAAGGATTAGCTTTTCTGTTCAAAGAGAGTATAAAATTTTTTAGCAAATTCTTGAGAAAAGTATGTTAACTATTTTTTGGATAGGTCCCTTTAAGAAGCAATCACTCATTTAACTTTTGCAATTTCCTTCCAGATATTGATGAATGTCGGACTATTCCTGAGGCCTGCAGAGGAGATATGGTCTGTGTCAACCAGAATGGTGGCTATTTATGCGTACCCCGAACAAACCCAGTGTATAGATCACCATACCTGAATCCTTATTCAAATATTTATCCACCGCCCCCAGCACCAGGCCCTGTTCCCAACTACCCTACTGTTACAAGACCTCTGATGTGTCGATTTGGTTACCAGTTGGATGAAAATAATCAGTGTGCTGGTAAGTAGTAAAAATCTTTATTCTGTATTTTTCTGACATTGCAGAAACAATTGTCCTGCAATTGTCCTTTAGTTATTGAATCACTCAAGCCCAGTATTTTAATGTTCATTTTTTAAAGGACGTAAACTGTATGTTTCATGCATACATATTCAATGCAAGCTAAGATATGATCTAGTCCTATGATTTAACCAGGAAATCCACTTGTATGAGGGAAGGAACGTTTTTATGAGATAAACGACCATCTGATGGCAGGTGATTTGTCAGTGCATCAAAGGCATGCCTTCTATGCTTATGATTCTGTCCTCGAGAGAAAGGTTGGCCCTCCGTTTGAAGGGTTAGATGGGGACCGAGGAAGCCTTGCTTCAGTTCTTGGCCTTATGTGTCCTTGTTCAGGTTTCTGGACCTTCGTGTTCCTCCTGTAAATGGTATAAGTAAGAGTTGTTTCCTTCCATTCTTTGCATTCTTCACTTAAGCTATGAGCCCTGTGGAGCACATACGCTTCTTATCCAGAGGGCAGTACACAACCGTTAGCACTACTGTTGCTTTAAGGACTACAGACTTCATCTGAGACTGGAACTCCCTTTGAAGCACTGCCCAAACAGACGGGGAAAGAATTGCTGCTCCAGAAGAGCATTGACATTGCTTAGCACCTTGATATTCCCCAATCTCCAATACAAAAACCAAATAACTCTATGAAAAATTTCTTGTGTTCGTAGTTTTTCTACTTTTGCATATTTTGCTAGATTACAATTCTACTTATTCCATTTTATACTGTGTTTAACTTAGATATAAGCTGCTCCTGTGTTGCTCAGATTATGTGAGATTTAAATTATATGCCTTTGGTTTGCTTGCTTTTGATAATGTCATGTTATGAAGGAATGTCAGGAAAATTTCTGAACTAAACAAAAGTAAATTCCACTGGCCAAAATATTTATTTTGATGGCAAACTTGTAATTAAGAGATCAGAATCAAACCGATCAATGTTGGCTGCTGAGGGTGCAGCTGAGGTGCTGGAGATGTAGCCCACAGATCTACCAGAAAGTTGGTCTATAACCACTGCTTACTTCTGTGTCTCAATTGTCCTAATGAGAAAGTGAGGTTTTTATCTGTTATTACATGTATCTAATTGTCTGAAGGCTTTTATCAAAATCTCTTGTGAAATAGGACTGGTCTTTGCCAAGAAAAAAAGCTCAAACCATAGAAGATATGATCTTTAAATAGAAAATTTTCCCTGTCTTTAAACTAAGGAACTGCATTTAACTCAGAACATTTCTTCTCTGAATGCTGCTGCAGAACAACACAAAAGATAAAACTGACTTGTCTTTTGGGCTGATTCTGCTCTATTGTCTGAAATTTCTGGCAGGACTTGGTTTCAGATGATGTGCTTTGTTTGCTTCCCTAGTGAGGAGACCATGGTGCTTCACAGGAGCTGTGAGAGTCTAGATTTAAATTCAGCTACTTTGGGGCACATTTTTCTGTATTTGAATCATTGCCGTCATTATGTTCCAAAGTGGGAAAAACATATTTTCTGACCGGTGCCAGCAGTAATATTTACAGGAAAATGAAAAGAAAAAAAAAAAAAAGGTTTTTTCAATGTTTAGTTTTGAAATCCCAGGATAACTGATGAGTTTGCATTAGAAATAAGCACGTACACAATCCAGTCCTTTGAAAATTGCAACTGGTCCTTCTCATCTTAGCAACCTGATCAACCTCAGTTATTTTATCTACTAATTTGTAAATTCCCAGGAGTGTTTTAATTTTGCTGACTTTTATGTAGATGAATCAGGAAACAGGGCAGTTAGTGGAAAATAAGTGCTGAAATCAAAGGGGAGATGAAACCTCTCTATTTTACTGTGTCTGGCCTGCTGCGTGCAAACCATACTAACCAAGCCAGGAAGATTTTGGAAACTTTTACAGTGGACTTTCCAGCCCCCAAAACGTGTATATGTTCCTATCTATGCTGGCAGAAATGTGAGGCCTAATGCTTTCTTCAGTCAGGGCTGTTTGCTTCTATCACTCTAACTTTCAAATATGGGAATTTATTTGTGAGGTAAAGTTTGGTGAATAGAGACATTAACACAAATAGACAGGAAAAGACAGACTGCCATTTGAGTACCACAGTTAGCTGGGAGCAGTTTTTGAAAGTCTACATCAGGTTTGAATTTGGGCAGATGATGGATTATATTTGTGTTAAAGGAAGAAAAACAAAACTTAAAGAGAACAAGACCTGTCAGAGCACAGGTGTCTCTGCTGGGTTTAGATTTCATTTTTCATTTAGTGATATCCTCTGGAGACATTCATTGTCTTGATGCAGTATTTGCTTTTGTATCTGTGTGCCCTAGGATGGAAAGTGTGGACACCAAGGGAAGTGGTATGAGTACATGTCTCACTGCAGTGCTGGTAGAAAGGCCTGATCCGCTGTTTCCAGGACCCCTGGTGCAGTTAACAAGGTGATGGGCAGTTTCATGCTTGAAGGCCTGGGAGACAAGACACCAGGGAACCTTGACAGGGTCCTCAGGAGTGATCAAAATTTTACTCAGGTCATTCAAGAAAGTCTGAATCACACGAATCATGGCTCCATCCTATTATAAGCTAATTATAAGCATTGCTCATGTTAATGGTATTTCAGTTGCTCTGTGTTTCCCTGCTTGTCAGCTTTCAGCAAGCTCTTCAGATACAAAGCACTTCAAGAGTTAACTTTGTGGTGGAATGGTTAAAAAGAGTAAATTGGGAGTATCTTGCCCAGTAGCTGAGCCACTATATAACTTACAGGTTTGTTATGTTGGTGATCTGGCACCACCTTCCAGCACCTTCTTTCCAAATAAAATTAGTCGCAGGTATTTCCATTAGAGATGATGAGACTTTTTGCTGTTAACTTTGGGGGAACCAGAGCAATTCTTATGCTAATGTTTCAGAGAAATCTCCAGTTCCTAACAGAGTACACATTTTTGTCTAGTCAGATATGGGGTTACAGGTCTGGGCCACATTTTCTATTGCTAAGCCAACAGAAATCTTTACTTTCACTTTGAATTCCAGTCAAAACAGCTTATTAAACACAGGAACCTTCCCTGGGAGATTTGCAGCCTCAACTGTGAAGCGCTGAGCTTGTTCAAGAGACTTAGTGAAACAGGAAAAAAACAGTGAAACAGGATAAAAATTTGATCTGAAAGATGTATGAGATTTAACAAGCTCTTTTTTTCTTTAATTATTATTCCCCCCTTGGCTAGAGCTGACAGAGGCAGGAAGGCTGTGAGAGGGTCGCTCTGCCCGGGCCTGGCACCTGGCCTGCCTGCCCAGGCTCCACATTCCCCGGCTCTCGGAGGAGTGCACACCCTGGGTCGTTCACATAACATTCCCCTCACGGGGCTGATATATTCCAGCACACAAAAAGAAGCACTACAAGCTGTTCTTCTCCCTTTCAACCTTTTTTGCCCTCATCCTTTCTGGCCTGGATGGTCACAGACAGGGGTTAGGTGCCCATGTTTGATCTCGTCCTTTGTGAAAACAAAACCTTTCCTGGCACCAGCGCCTCTCAAAGACACCTGTCGGTGACCATTTTGCCCACTCCAGTGTCCTCTGCATGATGTAGAAGTAGCTGTAGCTGTAGCCATTAGCAGCAACAGGCAGAGAAATATTTAAATGATAATTACTTTTTAAATCTTCTGTGGGTTTGATTCCTGATACATGGTATTTTTATCCCTGGAGCTGCTGAATGCTTTTTATCTTGTTCGTGTAAATGTAGTGTGTTTTCAACAGCACGAAGTCTGTGTAAATTCATTCCAAAGCAGGTTGGGAATGATTTATAACCACAATTAATGCTGGAATAAAAGACCACATCCAGGAAAAAGCAAAGAATATCTAGTGCAAAAGCGCTGCTTGAACTGTTTGTCTTCTAATGCTACTTCTCTATAAATACAGAATGGTTAGTCATAATAATGACTTTTTGTTCAAGGAACTTGGTCTAGTAACTGTTGGCAAGATTAAACTGGAGCAAGGGCCCGTGTTCTTGCATTACACATTCATAAGCTGAGAGCACTTTCCCATTTCCCTTCACTCCACCTTGCTGTTTCCTGATTTACAATGATCTTTAAAACATGCCTCAAACACAGATCCTTCTGGGCATTGTAGAAAGAACTGTAATCGGTGGGCTCTTATTTTTGCTTTCTCTCCTACTAATGCACATGAGCAACGTGAGGAGATGATGAGGCTGGGGAGGCATCTAAGAGGGTTGAATTGGAGGTATTGGAGAAAGCAGACTGCAAAGACAGAGAAGTAGATGCTAGGAAAGGTAAGCACAAGGCAAGATGAGTACGACCTAGAGACAGAAAGAAGGGAGGAGGCGAGAGGAGTTAATAAAAGGGGGAAAAAAAAGCATAATTTTTATTTTTAAAACTAAAGCTAAAAGGAAGAAGCACAAAAACAGAGGTAAATGGAAAGATGCTCTTTCCAAGCATAAGAAAGAATTGTTCTTCAAGATCTCATCTGTGGAGCAGTCATTGCTTCAGCTTTCCTAATTTCTCAAAGACTGCCAGGACCTCCTACATTCCCCACCTACAGGTCTCCAGTCCTACATTCATGGAGTGAAGCTCCTTCCTTCAAAACATTACCCTTGCACAGATGGGTTTTAGATAATTACCATTTATACTGCAAGCATACCTAAAGCCCACATCCAAGCCTGCAATTGTACTGACCTGCCCTGTGCGCGAACTCATTAAGAACAGCCTATGCCTAGATGGGTTTTGAAGCAAAATTAAGGAACCAGATGTGAGTGCCTGGGGAGAGGGGAGGGAAATGAAGATACAGCATACTGAAAGGAGGTACACAGGTCTTGAAGCAGACCCATGGCTGTGCTGGGGATAGAACCCAGAATTCCTATCCGATGGCTTGACCACTAAGGCAGGCTGCCTCCTAATAGTGACTTTTCTGGTGACCTCTCTGGGCATATGGACACAGGAAGAAGAACAGGAAGGAAATGCATCAAGGAGATTATGCCCGTGGTT